TATAGAGAATTCGGACTAATAAACTGTGTACCTTATACACACATACAACTAGGAAGCTGGGATAGACATCAACTTACACGACTATTTGGAAAAAATGCATGTATCTCAAACGAACGATGGGAGAATTCTTATGAAAGAAACATTACAAAAAAGGGTACATGACAATAGTGATTATGGCCATCATGAATTCCTTCTCACAAATCCAGCGTGACAACTATGATAATCATGAGAATAAGGTCAAAGATTCAAGGCGCATGTTTTATTGTTTAAAAAACTTGACAGGGTCAAACTTATTTGAAGAGAACATAAAATGCTGTCATGAACAAAACATTAATAACAGATCAAGTGACCGACAAAAGACGTAGTATCAGATAAATCACGGGTTAAACAGTGCTCAGTGAGAGGCAACGTAATACTTAAGGACGATTTCCCAGAATTTGAAGAAAACGTGCATGGACCTGGTTCTGCTCGAAGTCGATCAACAATGATGACTACACAACATTAAAATTGTGATCATAATTATGAAGAGGAGGATGAGGAGAAAGATGACGTTAGAAGAAATGAAGACAGATATATTGACTAAGACAAAGATAGAAGTTAAAACAGAGTAGATATGACCGAGACCAGATTAGATACGATGATACGGACAATAACAGATTACGACGAAGATGATGATTGCGACGATTATGACTAGGAAGATGCTGATTAGCAGATATGATGCTAAACGATTAGGTATACTTTTCAGATCATTTGCTAGCTGTTGCATCTCGACCGTGTCCAATACTTCCTCGAGCAGCTTGGAGGCGCTGTGGCGGGCAACCTTGCTGCCAGCGTGGCCGTCGAAGACGGCGAAGAACGCCCAGTCGACCCACGGTTCTGGTAAGTCGGTACGCGAGATGTGTGCATCTTCCATGTCCACCCGCCAGCCCTGCATGGACGCCACCGCGTAACGCAAACCAGCACCGCAGCCCGATTCATTGGTCTTGTCAGTGCGCGGCTTTTCCAAAAAGGCACCCATGAAGAAACAAGCAAACAACGGCTCGGCCGGCCGGTCGGTCGGTCACTCGGTGACTCACGTCCGCTAAACGGTCGCCGGCGTCGCCGCTATCCACGCAACTGCAACTGGCACCAAAAATGAGGGACGGTCGCGACCGAAGCAACTTTCGTCAGATGTGATTAAGTGAGATTTCATGTATTCCTGAAAAACCACAAAAGAAACACGTTATCAAAAGCGATGCAAAACAACGTCGGTAACGACGGTAAACTTTGCGCTGATTACACGTCCCTCGGCATCGCGCGCCGCACCGCACCACCGAAAACACTGCAGAAACGAGAACGATGAGGGGGGAAGCGATGATCAGGCAACAAACGAAGCATACTTATACTGAGAAAAATTACTGTTCAATCAGTCCATGAATCAAAAGAGTTCGCTGCTTAAATTTACGGAAGTAGCACGGCACGTAAAAGTAACGCAAACTAGTATTTCAGCAACTACTAGCCCGCTGGGATAACAATATACAAATAATCCACAAACAAACAATAAATGACAATACATATGATGGTGAGACATATAGTAAAGAAGGATAAAGAAGAAATGGATCGATCGACAGAAAGTTGCTGCAGATAAACATTTAAATCTATGGGCTAACATTAAAAGATTGATTCGAACTGATTCCGTCTTTCCCAGTTCCCGTTCCTCGTTCTGTAAAGTGCGAGCCATCTGCAGGAGTACAGGTCTTTTGTACGCTTCAGCGGTCGCATGAACCCTGGCATATTGAGAGATTAGTCGAATGCGACTTGGAACTACATTTTGAAAGTATGGTGCAGCGGACAGAGCACATCGGTTATAACAGGTTTACCAAGCTTCGTAACAAATCTCAGTATATGATCCACCATAGGCTAGATGACCTGTTCTGGCGGAAATTTTCGTAACGGATCAAAATTTGCGTAGATCCATTCATGAACACGAGAAAGACAATGGTATAGGTAGAACTAAAGCAACGATATCCACCAAACGATGCCTGAAAAGTCACACTAGGCTCAGATGGCCATGTGTGACAAATTCTGCCCTGTTCAGGATGACGATTCTCAATGTGGATTGGATTCGACGGAAAGAACGAAGACAAACATTGACGCTGCGATGGGTAGCGAACTGAGAATCAAAATGAAAATAAAAACTGAGACCCGAGAAAAAATTTAGGTGGAGCGAATGACGATAACACAGGTGATATGAGGTGAGTGTCAGTGGTAAAGACAGAATTATGAGTATCGCACAATTAATACCTGCACTGTTCTTAACGACTTCAGTGGTGAACATGATATCTGACGATCGATGAACGAAGGAATCAAATCGTGCTAACCGTGAAAGGTGATCATCATTTATAAGTTCGGTGATAACTTTACTCACTGACGACGATGGTAAGGCTGATGATCAGGGTGAAAGTGACAAAAAGGTTAAATAATGTTCATACTGCTTCTGGTAACTTAAGGCATGGCGAGTAATGCGATATTTAGGACGATAAGGTTGATAATGAAGCAAACGATAACAAAAATGATGACAGACAAAGAAAAAAGAACGATGATGCTCAATGTGCTTTTGACAGTTTCGATAATGACGAATACAACAGTAACAGTGATAATTACTAAAGTTATGAAAACGAGGAATGCAACAGCGAAAGGAAAGCAAAAGAAGACAAAATGGCCGAACTCCCATTGGCAGTTTCAATGGCAAATATGACGAGAGCCACAAAGATAATGACGAAACTGATAACATTGGTCATGACAGATTGACAAAGGAATCATGCGATGTTCCAGTTCGTGTTGAAGGTTTCCACAGTAAGGATGTTAACAACTGACTAATACTGATATTGCTTGAACGGTTCGATGATAATAACAACAGCTACCTAAGGTGGGTGATTATTACTGACAAGAAAAATGATCATGACACTTATTCGTAGGATAATCGCAGCAGTTGATTATCGAGGTTAATAACGATCATGTCTGATGAAGGGAACACAACAGTGGTGATAGTGCCATTACAGATATTTCCGATGAACATTAATAATATAGATGTCAAAAATATAACCTCAGTAACGACAGAAATGGAAGCAGAATCGATGCTGACTGGTGATGAGAAAGAGGTCAATCACGTTAGTTAGGTTCTTAACAGATTTAATGGTGGAGATGGTTCAAGTGATAATGATAAGGGAAAAACGGAGAAAGAAAATAACAGCAATTATAACTGTTGGGCAGAAAGACAGAATGTGACACTGTGACAACTGTTACTACTTTCAGAAACATGTATAAAGGGATAACGACTGGTGAAGAAAAGGATCAAACAATATCCACGTTTCTGCTGATTAAGTCAAAAGGAGTGACTATCACGACAATCATAAGAACAACGACAATATTGCTCATACTTTAAATCACAGTCGCACTGACAACGACTTATTAACAATAAACACTATAATCTCGAGGTCGGCCATAAGGTGAAGAAATCTTGTATTTTAAGGAAGCTGAAGCGAAGCATACATTGCTGCCGATAATTTCAGTGACAACTTCCACTACAGTGACGAACTGTCAAGAGCAATGAAGCTAAGTAATGGTAAGAAACAACAATCACGTGCTTTCCGTTATTGACCAATTTTAACGGTAGAAAGGACGATAATGATACATGCAATAACGAGAAAGGCCACAGTAGCTATTCATATTGCTGAAAAGAAAAGGGAAATGATGGTGAATGATTACTGTCAACAGTTTCCAAGAATTATTTCTTGAAACGAAAACGAAGTCAGTGATTAAGAGAAAAGAATAAATAAGTGTTTATGCTGCTACAGACTGTTTCCGCGGTAGAGATGAAAATAAACGAGGATTAGTGATAATAACAGTGAAGACGATAAAATGCGACTTTAAATTATAGGAACAACGATAACAGTCAGCTGGTCATAATGCAGCTAGCAGCTTCAATAAAGACAATGCTGAAAACAGTGACATGATCATTACGTTGGACACTACGGTGAAGATGGCAATATGGATAAAGTCATCAGCAGGGAAGCAGCTTCATGTTCACATTCCGCTTTTGCTAAATATTTATGATAATGTCATAATAAAGATGACAGTCATAATGATAAGAACGATGTAACGCGGAAGATGATAACGATGAGTATGACTGAT